TGGAATGAAAGCCAAATGCATGTGGCTCAATAAAAGCTAATAGTTTTGCTGATAGTTTTGGCTGATTTCCAAACACAGCTCAATGATTTAAAGTAAGGCAGTAGCTCGAACATCAACGCTGGTGTCCATCAGGGAAAATTGTGATGCATTATAATTATTCTTCTTCTTTATTCGTATTCTTCCAATTTCATACTCAAAAGAAGAGTATAATTCGGTTTCAAAAAGTTTCTAATTGTGAGATTTTTTAATACCGTTAAATGGCCGTTCATGAAACGTCATGTATCTGCATTTACGAATGTGGCTTGTAAATTTAAGAATGTTGCTCAAATCCTCTGCTTAAATTCATGAACCTCATATGGTCTCCTCTTAACACCGATAAGAAATGCATGGTTTTCCGTACATAAAAAATATACAGCTTATAGTTTTAAAACCCTGAATGCAAGTGTAACAGCAGGCGGGTTCAAAATCATTGGGGAATTAGAAAATTTTTATAAAGCCGAATTTTACTCTTCTTTTAAGTACGCAATTAGAAGAAGACGTGATTATTTACCGAATAGCTAAACGAATTAATATTTTATGCATGTTTTCTGTGAAATGTAATTTAATTTTCAAGGGCATTGAAAATCAATGAGAAAATTGCATGCTACCTAAGAAGTCATTATTTTGCAGAGTATAGAGCTTGCATGCAGCCGAAAATAAGTTCTTTTGAAGGCCGACAGCCTGTGGTAAATGGAACATTATAGATTTATAATGCATCATGATTAGTTCTACAAGACTACTTAATTTATCTTTTCGAAATTTTTTTTGATACTTCGTGAGTTAGCCCATCTACTGTAAAAGCGTTTGTGACGACCACTGGCCGAATTAAGAGGTTGTCGACAACACTCAGATTTTGAGAGTTATGGTAGAGTTTTGCATTGTCTAGTAAGACTTTCGCACGCGTTTTATTTCGTTTAACAAATTTTACCTAGCATTCCGTCGATCTTTTATGAATGGGGATACCAAGAAATAGGAGTTGATTGTCAATTTGTATTGTGAATGTGAACTAATTTTCTATATTGTTGTGTCAATGGCGTTGTGAACTGTTTCCGGTTGATTTTCCTCAACATCAACAACTCCGAAGTCTACAATGTATAATTAACTAACGAAGAGCCTTAGTCTTGGGTTTCTGTCAAGAAATCCAGATGCAAGTGCTTCATTTAAGGCTTGATTATTTACTTATAGTATTGGCGATTGAATAAGAAGCGGGTTTCCAAACACAGCTCAATGATTTAATGTAAGGCAGTGACTAGAACATTCATAAAGGGGTCCATTAGGGAAAATTGTGATGTCTGCTAATTATTCTACAAACTACACAGCGTTCACAATGTCACGCCGGCAAACGTTCTCGTTGTCGTCGATGTCTGCAGCCAGTTCACCACTAAGTAGTTTCTCGTCCACAGCAACTACTTGCATTTTTTCAGCAAGGTGACCTTCCGTCGCCCATCCTGTTGAATATCGTCATTGGGTGAATCCTCCAAAGGGTTTTGACGGTGTCAACTTTGTACCCCTGCACCGGCTGATGGAAGCAAATATTTTAATGATATTGCTCAATTAGCGTCAAGCTGTACTGATGCGTGGAGAACAGCAAAAAAGTTGGATGCGGTCTATGGATCAATTAGTATGACGAAATGAAGCGTCTTCTATTTAACTATCCGGCCAGAAGGCGCGCTCTGAACTAACGGCAGTCAGCCCTACGAAGGAGAGGAAAAAATTCTGCGTTCCAATGGAGTTTTATTTCAATTAATAAAAAAGTATTTTCCCCTTAAATATGGGACTGAACGCTCGTGGTGAAGGAACTTGAAGACTACTTAAACTGACAAGAAAACTTTAATCAGTATGAATGTATTTTGATCCTAAATGATATTATTTTGGGTTTCTGTGACCTTAAACTTAAAGCCACGAGAATATTGCGAATACAAGGCGACATCAAGGTATTGTCCTGTCTTAGGAATATTTTCAGAAGAGAGTTGAAACTCGTTTTCTACCTGTCAGCGGCCTCACCAGGACAAGGCCGATTAAGAAAGTGGTTTTCCCGCATTGCTAAAAAGTTAGCAGATCTGCGTAAATAAATCCCAGCAAGGTAACTTTATAGCACTTAGTGACGGCCACTGTTCGATTTAACAGGTTGTTGGCAACACTCGGATTTTGAGAAATACGGTAGTTTCTCGCAGAGTCTATTATGACTTTCGCACGCGTTTCAATTCGCTAAGTGGATGTTAGTAACACCACATTAATTCTTCTATGAACAAACATATCTGACAATGGGAGTTCATTGGCAACTTCCTTTTCGAAAGTAAATTAATTCCTTGAGTTACTGAGCTGATGGCGCTGTGAAGTGTTTCCGGTTGATCTTCCGTAACATCAACAAACGCGTCGTCTACAATCCAAGATTAGCTAGCGAAAGAGCCTCAGCTTTGGGTTCCTAAATCTTCACCTCAGCAAAAATGTCAGAGGCAGGGACTCGCTTAATTGCTGTAAGTAGCGGCGATTGAATGAAAAACTGGTTTTTAAACACAGATCGATGAGTTGAAATAAGGAAGTTGTTAGAACGTCCATTTTGTAGGACTGGAGGATTTAATAAGTGAAAAGACTGACGCCTCCTAATCCGATTAAAAGTTATACGACGTTATTAATGTCTTACGGGCAAAAATAGTCGCTGTGGTCGATGCCTACGACAAGTTCACCACGGAGTAATTTCTCGTCCACAGCAATTACTTGCATTCCTTCAACAAGTTTGCATACTGCCGCCCTGTTGAATGGCGCCATTGGTTGAGTCTTCGAAAGTGCTTTGACGGTTTCAACTTTGCATCCATGCAGCGGCTGATGGCTCCGAATATATATTGTTCAGTTAGCATCAAGCTGTATCTATTCATAGAGGGCAGTGACGGGGTTGAATGACGTCAGTAGATCAGTCAGAAAGTCGAACAACGCTGAGAGGACTAAGACATCGCGAAGAAGGAGGCACGATCGATAGGACAAGAGCCTTATTCGCCTAACATCTCGGATTCCTGCTTAAACACATCATCCGGGGCAGTAACAGATACGGGTCAAAAACTAATTTTCTGCCTGTTATCGGTATACTAGGGCAAGATCGTTGAAGGGTATGAGTTTTTCACATTGCTGAAAAGCAAGCGTCAGGATTTCACTTTCAAAGAAATCATCCGTACTAGAGAAAATTAAATGGGAAGGTGTTTTATAGACACAGGTCTATAATTTAGATTAAGACAGTTGCGAAGACATCCATGTTGTAGGTCTGAGCAAGTTCATCGGTAGTAATGATAGTGCCTGATAATTGTTTTGAATACTACGACATTTCTAGCGTCGTTTTCACGATACCCAGAGTGTGCTCAAGAGCGAGCTGAGGGTATATAAGGTGACAAGCGTGTGATTTAGTCTATAGCGAATGAAGACTTGTGCGGCATCTACTGCACTCTCTCCTCCTTCCCCACCAGGACCCGGTGTCAATACATAGTCAGGAAGACCGGAGGCCGGGGGTACGCAGGTAGATGACACGATCGAGTCCGCAGCCTGGCGCCCCACTCCACGCCTCCTGGTTCACGCAGCAAATGACTAGGTGTTTGACCAACCACAACAGAAGGAGCTGTCGCGACCGGAGCCCCACCTAGGTGTGCCGCCACAGTTGGCTCGGATCCCACGCAGTAAGAATGCTATAAAGGCCACAGTAAGAAAAAGCCATTGCAGCCTAACTCTCAGACCACCACCCGGCCACTCCACATCAGCATACGCAACACTGGGCCGACCCCGAGGTCCAATTCATTCCGTCAGTTGGCAACCTTCCAAGCCACGTCTTAAAGCGCACTGTGATAGCCTCAAGCTCGTCAGGTTGTTTATAGTAAAGAAAGTGCGCTGAGTCGTCGAGCTCACCCTTCCTTTCCTTTCCCAGGCCCTAGCCACTGTTCGAGCTGCTCAGTCGACAGATGCGGGGAATGGACGCCGTGGCTGCCATATCAAGTAGACTTGTGTGCGTGCGCCAAATGCACGACCTGGCCACAAGCACCAGGATTTCACACAACGGGGGTGCGGCGGCGTACATTTGCCATGCGTGAGTGTGCCGTAGTTCGCGTTACGAAGGAGCCGTTTCAGTCTAGCTCTCGGTCCACCAGTCCGCAACACTACACAAACATTCACACAACTGGGCAGTCTGCGTGGACTGAGTCGGGACGTCAGTTAGCAGCCTTTTAAGCCACGGTATTTGATGCACCGTGATAGTCTCGCACTCCGATCACACATGCAGCAGAGGAGTTGCATGGAAACGGGTTCGAGATGCGAACTTTCCACTTTTATGGGAGGTGAAAATTGGATGTCTCTGGTAGGCGATGCTGTCGTGTGAAGGTAGATGTAGTAGTGTGGTGCGGCCGACGGTTATTTACCGCAGGTTTTCGTGAATGCGCTCGTGGCCTAATAGGTCCATGCAGTGAGTGAATGTGTGGGTAAATTGAGTGCGGCTGGGGGCGAATGCGCAAGTGTAGGTTGATGCTCCAGGCACTGATTTGTCAGTCTCTGTGCGATAGATCGGTAAATGAACCACCAGACCGATGTGTGCTGCGAATGTATGGAGACACTGTGGAAAGAAAAAGGCGGTGGTGTCAGTGTCGTTTTGGAGATGGTGGCAGTGGAGGAGCTGTTGATTGTGGACGCGCTGGGCGACGGCGTGTGTTTTTGTCGAGGCGGCGGTCAATTTCGATCTTGTGGATACGCATGTGACTGAATAGGCCCATGTGGTGAGTGAATGTGCGAGGGACAGTGTGGACAGTGGAGGCGGGTGCGGCGAATGTAGGTTAATGCTCCAGGCACTGGTTCGCTAGCTTCTGTGCGATGGATTCGCAAGTGACCGACCAGGCCGATGTGAGGTGAAGGTGCGGTCGCAATTTGGACAGATATGGATAGAGTTCACATCGCCGAAGTTGACACCGGAGAGCTTGTTGTTCGTTGGCGTGTCAGGATTGGGTGAGGTGGTGATGCGTACAGGAGCTGTCGTAGCGAAGTGAAGCAGATGTTGGAGAGGAGGAGGAGGAGGAGGAGGAGGAGGAGGAGGAGGAGGAGGAGGATGGTAGTGGGTATTCAGTAGTGTGGTCAGTGTTGGCTGTCGACGTGGGGGGCGAGGCAGAGGTGGACGGTGGGGCATCGGGCGGAGTCGTTCGGGTGCTACAAATGATACGATTATGCTTAATAAGATCAATAAGTGTCCCAAACGTTCACTGACAACGTGGGCCGGTCGGGGCGACTGAGCATGTGCATTGCGAGGTGAGCACAGTTGAGATTTGCGAACCTCGCGTTTGCCTTTGGCGACGATGATGCGATTGACTCCGAAGATCGTGACGCCTGTATTCACTGTCCACTTCCAAATCGGTTGGTCCATGTCGAGGTCATCTCAGTTGGCCGACGCTTCAGGCAGGTCTTCAGGGTATCCTTATAGCTACGAACTCGCCCTTTTTGTCAGCGGGAACCCGTGGCGACACCTCCATAGAAGAGCCGTTTGGATGGCCGCTCATCGTCCCTGCAGCGCAGTTGCAACTGTCGCAGCATGGCGCAGATGCTGAGGACTTTCGTCCGTTCCAATACATCAGTGTCCGGGACCCGGTCCTGCCACCTCAGCTTCAGTATCCATCGAAGACAGCTGAGGTAAAATTGGTTGTGTTTTCGCGCCGCTTCTTTTACGCCGTCCAGGTCTCCGCTCCGTATAGCAGCGTCGGCAGGAAGACTGCCCCGTACCTCTTCAGTTTGGTGTTGAGATGGAGACCGCGGCGGTTCAAGATTTGTCTCTGTGCAGACGGCCGAAGGCTTGACTGGATTTGGAAATCCGGCGGGTCACTTCATGATGGATTTTAGTGGTGTGTAAGAGTGTGCTGCCCAGGTAGGTGAAGTTGTCCACTATTTGCAGTTGGGCGCTGTTCACGTTGATTTGAGGTACAATGTAGGCAGCGTCGGGTGGTGGTTAATGCATGGCCACTGTCTCCTCCGTGTTCAGGACCAGAAATAAGTTGTCGCAGGCGGTTGCGAAGAGGACCATGCTCCTTTGTATGTCTCCTTCGGAGATGGCGTTGAAAGCGCAGTCGTCGACAAAGAGAAGTTCGTAGACGGTGGCTGTGAATACACGCGACTGGAAGTGCACCCGCCGCCGATTGAGGAGGTGGCCGTCCGTCCTGTGGCAATGCGTATCCCGGGTGTTTATCACGGCAGGCTTTCATCAACATGACAGAGAACATGAGACTGAAGAGCGTAGGCGCGAAGACGCAGCCCTACGTTGGTCACTGCGAATGCCTCTGGAACGGCTCCATTGTCCGTGACTCGCGCCATCATGCCATCGTGGTGCTGACGCACCGTCTGAGTGAATAGCGCGGAACACCCGAAAATTTGTATGATTCTCCACAGTCCTTCACGATTCACCGTACCAAAGGCTTTCGCTAGACTCGTATGTTGCCCAGATCCGGTTTTCCTCCGCACGACACTGTCTAAAAATTCATCGTTAGGGCTTCTGCTTACGTTGATGACCAAGAAGGAGGTGTGAAGTGTCAGTTCCATCTCCAACATGAGTGAAAGCAACAAGTGCCATTATTGAGGACAGTATTTAATACGGGTGACTTTTGTGCAGGGGTCTTGCATTGTTCAAAGAAAACAGTCGCTATGCTGCTGCATGCCTATGAAAATCGATGGCTGCCCCTCTCCATCGAGGACGGTCGGTCTTGGAGCAATAATTGGTTGATGGTTGGCATCCCGGTCGTTACTCGTCGCTATTTCATCACGGATGTTGGGTGTTGGCATGATGATTGCTCAACTGCCTGGCACGCTGGCTTTGGCATTAGGACTAGTACTCGTCTGTGCGCTTCCTGTTTGGCTGATTACTTCTCTTAGACAAGGTCTCAGCACCAAATATGGAAGAGGGTGATCATTGCACTTGTTAACAGACTAATGGCCAGTGAACCATGACTCAAGAAACTCGCAGCCCACGCGACTATCGCCTCTCACAAGAATCTCGGTCCCGTCGAGTGTGCCAAAACTTGAGACGTGGGATCATTCCTTCGCACTGCCACCGCGTGTTAGACCGTTCGCGTTCGGAGCAGTCTTCCAGTTTGAGTGAAGTATTTGCTTCGACCGCAAACGAATTCAAGACGTTTTTTCCTGTGGCAGCGGGTCATGTGGTCTAATTACCTGACGCCTGATGGCTGCTTCCGGTCTGAGTGCAACTGCAGCTCCAAGTAGAGCATGAAAGTGGCAGACGGCCGACGACGTTTTTGACGTGCTGAAGCACTCGCCAGCATTTGGGGTCCAGACGGTTTGGCCCTTCATATCGTTTGCATACGCGCCGGATGACGGGTGAATATTTGGTCTGAACACCCGTCGAAAGTATTGTAGTTCGGGAATATGGTCTTCTCGTCCACTTGCGTGCATCTCAACACCCCGATAGAGCGTCCTTACACAAGTGCGTCTGTGGTTGATTTGGCGGTTGTTGCTGTTGAGGTTCAGCACTTACTTCCTATTTGTCACTTTCCTGTATCCTTTAGTTTTCAAGCCACCACAAATTTACACACGAGGACATCCAGTAAGGCTATTAGGTTGTTTTTATCCTCTTCCATTGTAAATTATAGGCCTGGGAAGACAGCGTCGAGACGTTCTCTGAATGTCAGCAACTGACTCCGGTCGATAATGACGGGGGAATCATCTACATACCGGGCCCAGAATTTCAGTCCGTAGTGTTGGATGGCCAGTGACTCGTGCCGCTGCAGAGTACCCCAGCGAAGAGACTCAAAATCTATGAATCCATTAGTGTGACTCATCTTGTCGCAGACTGTTCTGCCAAACATGAAGTCCGTTGTGAAAAAAAAAACTTCAGAAGCTGAAGGACATGGGCGCGTCCAAACCGGTTCCGGCTAGTCGCATTTTCCTTGTGGCAGTAGCTTAATGGTCTTGATTATCAGATCCTGGGGAATAGAAATCAAGAGGGACATGACACCGAAAGGTACCCCATTTGGCAGAAACGTTACGCATTTAGGTTATTCAAGACTTGTACTGGGGAAAAGATCGTGATGTCCGACTCATCCGTCAAGAACTTGAGACACCGGAACAGCCAATTCGCTAGTTTGTACGTTATTTGTACAATGTGGATGAACGCTCTACTATTGATGGTCGCCACTGTTGACTTCCAGATTAGCCATTCTCTGAAATCGATGACCACCCAAACCATCAAGCGTCGGAAGTTCAATAACAAACAGTCATAGCAGATGTATGCGGAGCTACCTGCTCAAATGCAGATCCCGACATTTCATGAGTTAGCTCATCCGCCGTAACTGCTTCTTTTAGCGATCGGAAAAAATTAAATCTTCATGACAAACCTCAATGTCCATTAACACCTTTGAGGGGAGTATGTCTGTTCAAAATGGTGTTTTCGAGACCAAAAGAAGTCAGTCCTTGACGCGGATGAAATCATTTTCAATGACTCACCCACGTGAGCGGACCTGGTGGACGCATGAACTAGCCATGTTCTGCTAGCAGAACGAATCAGATGTGTCCAAGACGCGTTTCCATCAAACCGACTCCCGTCTTGACCGAAATCTATCAAGACTGTCTATTTTGAAGAGCAGGAGAGTATGGACTGAAGTGGAGAAGATGTCTGGGATTACGCAGGACTAGTTTACATCAGTCGTGGTTCCTCATAGAACTTCACAACATAATCCGTAGCACAAGAAAGCCACGGGCCACTTTCAGAGCATACAGGACGTCTGGCCCGGAACCTCTGGGAATCTGAGGCAAGGTAAAGGTTATTCAGGCCATTCTCAGGACAATTTGAGAAAAACGAACTGGTCTGAAATGTGCTCAAAGCAGAGAACGTGAAACAAATATCCCCAACAAACGAATTAACGAAAGTATTTGACGTTAGGAGAGCAAAATAGATGTGGAAACTTCTGAAGGAAAAGATGTGCGAAAATAAGACCTTACGCAGCCACAGTGTTCACAGATGATAAGAATGTTTTCCAGGTGGATGGGCAATAAGATAGTCTTCTTAATGGCCTGTGTCCGGCTGTCGGTGGATGCAAAATCGACAAGCAAGGACATTGGATCATATAAAGACTTAGTGTAGTCTTCCGAAGGAAGTGTCGAGGACCAGGAGTTGGCGAAATTGAGGCTGAAACCCATGAAACTTGCCTCAACAAATCTCTAAGACTCGATATGATGCACCCTTACATCCACTAACACTCGTCGTCAGCTGTGCGAACGTACTAACAGACGTCTTATTTTTTTTTAACATCACAAATATTTCTTATGATGCTGTTTAATAACTGGCAGCTAGCAAAGTCCATACCACCTCTCTCTCTGTAGGAAATCGTACCGTTAGAAGGCAGTTAGGCGAAGTTTGGTTCTGCCGCCCCACTTAATTGATACCATATGGTTAGCTTACTAAAACAATTCAAATTGGCATACCTAACTTAGATACTCGCTGGATTAGAAATGGAAAGAGAGCGAAAACGGAGCTCGGAGCGAGTGAAGAGGGTGTGAGTTAGCTTACCTACTGTAATTTACGCGCAGGCCATCCTGCCTGCGCCCGCGGCGGATTAGCGTCGCTGCCGAAGTCTGAGCTGCCACATGGAACGTTCAAATGTGCAGCTGTTAAACCTTAGTCTGTGTATGTCGCCCAATAGATACATCTGCGTAGGTGCGTAGGAACCTCATTTGAATCATCCCGGGCTTTAAAAACGCGGTTTGGTGGTAATGGGGATTACTGTAAAATCTCTCGTTCATTGTGATAACCACTTCCATTAGACTAGGTCGCCCATTAAAGCATTATGTAGATGGTAAGGCAGAGTAGAACAAATTGCTGGTATGGCCCTGAAAATATGTAGTTTGCACCTAACTCCACAGTCTTCCATCTCGGTGATTGCGATGTTACTCCGTGTCGACTGCAATTGTTGTATCGCCGCCGGAACTCGTGAACGTTCACGTATAGTTGAGGTAAGGTAGTTAAAAATTGCTAATCAGAGCCAGACTGTCAGGTCGTGATAATCTCGAGAAGGAGTCCGGCCGTGTAATTTCCCTTTAGATCTGCCACTGGCTTGGCAGACATCAGATACTGCTTTTAGGGTCTGTTTCCCTATGGTACATGATTTATCGTCACTAGCAGGCCATCGATTTGCGCACTTGGGAGATTTTAATCACTTTCGACACAATTATTTTAAATTCGACGCTTTATCACTTGAGTCAAATAGGATGCCCCTGACTTAAGTGCGGTTAGATTAAAGTGCTCTTAAAAATCCACTCACGTTCAACATCCTTAAAGTTATAGCTGAACGCAATTACTGTCCAAAATGTCGCGCTCTTTTTAATTTATCCGTTATCTTAGAAAATCTGTACCTTTCCAGTTTCTTGCCTTGTATTTTTCGGACTTGGCTGGGAGTAGTTGGTTTTTACATACCAAAACTCATTAAACAATCCCTTTCGTATGGTAAGCTGGAGAAAATTCTGCACAATCCTTGGATTAAAGACCCATGGATTTCTTCATGCATTGTGGCATGTCTTGTACACAAATAGGAATTTCCCCAGCCCCGCTAATACGGGTGGCCGTGCGTACAGTTCCTTGAAGATAAAATATTTGTATGCCCAAACCCTAACTCTAACCATAACCCTAGTCCACACCTGGATCCTAACTCTAAGCCATAACCCTAATCCCACGTAAACCCTGACACCAACATTTGTCCTAACTTTAGACCTAGCCTTGTCCCTGATCTTTGTTCCCTGGAAATTCGCACAAGACCCCCGGGATGCAAGGGGGTTCCTATTCCCGTGTATTGCCATCTTACGTAATATATAGTTGTAATTACGTAAAATTATAATTTGCTGTGGTAGAATAATGATAGGTATTTACCAGTAATCAGTTAATAGGTCAGTTAGGCTGGTTTTGTCTTAGTGAGTTGGTATTTTTATTTGGTTCGAAAAAATGCATTTATAATGTCCGCCATTATATCCAGCAAAACACCCAACAGGAAAAAACACTTAAAAGGGTAACACGGGTTGTGTATTTCGTCCACGTCTGCGTTGGACGCAATTTTTTAGAAGCCCTTTTTAAGGAAATTCAAGGATTATGTCTATTTAAACAGTGAATTTTGCCGAAAAATTAGAATGGGTTTATGCCTAACCCACAAGCACTAGTTTAACAAAAATGTGCCATCTCGACTGTGCTTTACGCGAGTGTCAATAAAGGGCTGGTTTTGCTGTAGAAAAAGCGTCCAAATTCGAAGTAATGTGCGAAGTGGTCAGTTTTATTCGCAGTACCCAGATAAGCTTGTACCACGGACACAGATTCTGGGCTTACACAGGTCGCAACAGGTGACACACTCTTCATGACTCTCGGTTATTGATTTGTCGCTGGAAGAGGTAATTTAAACACTGGCCGTCATTTGCATCCTAACACGTGCGCAGGCACTCATAATGGTGGCTGCCTCGAAAGCGCTTCGTTTTAAACAGGGTCTGGGAAAACTTGCGTTTTTCTATCGAATTCAGTGTCGTGAGGAAAGGATATGGGCTTACGTGTGCCTTCTTGCATGGATGGGAGATCTTGCACTGACCTACAGTCTCTTTGTGGACAAAACATGGAGTTGTTGGGAGTCGGGTAATTCAACTCAGTGCAATCTCGACTACGGATTCGAGTGGCCAATGGCGTCACAACCAGCTGGAATCACTACGGCTGTCGTCTTTGCAATCTGCGGTCAGGCCCTCGTCACACTGGGCTGTGTCATTCTCGGTGTTTCCCTACTGACTCCATTCTGCCCGCAACCAACCTCTTCCTACGTTATACGGGACGTATGTCTAACCACGGGTGTCTACCTTCTTGCTTTCTCCCTGATGATTCACGTCATTGCGGCAGAACGAATCAAGGTGGACTTCTACAAACTCATCACAAACTACTCAAGTGGGCTTCTGGTATTTCTCGTCGGCTGGACGTCTGTTGTCGTAGCAGTTACCGTTGACATGGTTGGCTGCGTTTTGCCATACACCTTGCAGAATCCCACTGACAGGTATATTTGGCTGTGGCTTCACCGACACTATACATTCCACAAGTATCGTCTTCTGGAGGATCACTATCGGATTGTGCCAAAGGACACTGACGTTGACGAGCTGGAGCGCGTAAGGGGTTAGTTATAGAGGACTGTCCACTCTATACAGTGTCAGAGTTACTGGCGTAACAGGGCCAATTGTTGCCATTTTCTCCTGTTTCGACTATGGCCTTCTTAAACGAATATCCTCTCTTTTGTCCCCTTCACTTCCTTTATTCATTCTACGTCATAAAAATAAGAGTTTTATCCCGAGGGTAGAGGATGTTTGACGACAGAGAGACGACGCCTACGTGGGCTATCAAAAAGCGAGAAGTCGACTTGTTGCACTTACTCAAAATAATATCAACGGCTTATTCAATTTCAAAGGAGGTGTACTGCGATAACTTTTGAATATTCCGAAAACTTGTGACACATTTTCAGCTTATTCGAAACTTCGCACTTCGAGATTTTCAAATCGAAGTAAAATTTACAATTTTGATTTTGCGTGAGTTGGTTTTAACGCCACCAATAACAAGAGTTGACGCAATTAGGTCATATCGTCTCCGTTAACCAGGCCGAGAAAAATCAAGCACAAAAAATGAAGGGAAACGCTGACAAACAAAAATGGGGAGTTGTTTGAGATGATGATTCTTACCAACGCAGGAAATCAAAGGTACTTTGTTTACCGTTTTACGTTGTTTGGAAGACAGGGAGAAAACCTACCTAGGACTTCCTGCTTTGGGAGGGGAATTTCAAAACCTGTTCTGGGAGATTAGGACATGGAAAAACAAACGATCCAGGCATGCAACATAAAGGCCTTGCGTTTCAGGGGCAAGCCTTGTAAACAGCACAACTGTGCGTATGTTGATAAAAAGGCGCGCGCCTCAAAACGGTCTCCAATGCCGGAGTTGATTAGATTTTTCAGTTTTCGGATATTTTGGCCCGCAGGGGAATTTTCAAAATCTGGTAGAAACATTGATAAAGCTGATGGTAATGGCATCGCAGATGTGCTACCACTAGCAAGGCCGCTTTTACAGATCACAATTTGACCACTTCTGCTCCAGCTGCTCTGTAGCCCTAGAATTCTGCCTACTAGGAAGATGATCTCTCCTACGCCACAAATTTCCAAAGGACTAATAGGATGAAAACGGAGTTATTACTGTTCATCCTTGTGTACTGTAAAAATACTTGACATGTACTGTGTTGTAAGTATGGTAAACCATCTAATATTTGTATATTACTGACTGTCTGTTGGCGGCTTACGAATATTCCGAAGTAGCTGATGGATTTCAGTTTGAATATCCACAAAAAGGCCTTTGAAAAGAGTCCAAAAGGCTTTAGTATGGAGGTTTTACTACAAGTTCACGCATTTCTCCTCTCGTAAATATGAAAAGGCAGCGTGGAACCTGGGATTGACATACTAGAACGCACATAGCGAACGCTGGGGTGCGCACTAATGGGCTAACCTTCCATCATGCAACGACACAAGGTCGGCGGAGCACCCGTGTCAGGGCTTTTAGATAGTACCTGTTCTGTCAGTAGTGCCCTCTAAACGGGCCACGTGTTAGATGCGCTGGACCAACACGGGGGCCACATCGGAGTCTGGCAGGCGTTATCTGTGAGCAATAACAAATGCCAACATTCCTGGGGTGCGCTGGCGGACCCTGTTGTCGGCATTCGTCGCTCAACTGGACCACTGCCGCCACCCCATTGTTTTGTGGTCCAAATCCTGGTCATTTATGTGTGGACCAGGGGGTGTGGAGTGGAGCGCCAAGGCGAGGATCCGTCCGAGCCATCCACCTGCGGCCTCCCCCGTCTCCGGTCTTCTTGACTTGGTCTTGACACCGGGCTCAGGCGGGGGAGGAGGAGAGAGTGAAGGTCGATGCTACGCAAGTCTACTGGCACTATAAACCCCTGCGTAAGTCACCGTCCCTGCTTTCACAATGCAGTCTGTGGGGCACACGGTGAACGTCGTCGAAATCGACGGTCGAACTGTCGTTCTGTCAGTATGGAAATCATTCAGTACTCTTATGCTACTGTCCGCATGTTGGCAGCTTGTGACTGCACTGTTTCTATTCAGTAGTAACTGTTAGATTTCGGTTAGAATATTCCTATTTAAGCTTTCATAGTGAGCCCAGAAGGCTTTGATCTGAAGGATTTACTCTAAGTTCACACATTTATCCCCTCAGAATTTAGAAAAAGCAGCATGCATAAAGTTGACAAAACTGAGAGCGTGTTTAAGTAAATGTAACAGAATTGGGCACGCGGACGAATCAAGGTTACTCGTTTTGGTAGGAGGCAAGAGCAAATACCCACTTTCCCCCTGTATATGGATGCCTTCCGCTAAATTCCGGAAAGTTAAGGTTAGAATAATGGTTATGGCCACAGTGGTATGATCGACAAAACAAAGATTCCCAAATCAGAAGTCAGTGAAGGCGAACCGGGTTGACAAACTTTATTGATGTTTGACAAGGTACAAGAGGCACTGTAATCCGCTCCCGTAAGCTCTTTCGGGGCAGGTTGTGTTCTGTGCCCACCGTCTAGGTTTTCAACCCTCCAACGCATGTATGCACCTTCGTCCTGTCTCAGAGAAGAGACAGCGCCCGCTGGTCTCAAGCTCTCGTAAGGCTGGTGACAAGCCTCGTGCGGTTCCAGTGGTGAACCGATAGGGAGCGTGAGACGGACAGAAGGGCAACATGACAAAGTGGCGGGGAGCAAGGAGGCACGGACTGCTACAGTTGAAGTTTGGACGCGGAACTGGGTGCTCCCTGAAGTTTATGTAAAGGCCATTTAGAGTAGGGGGCGGGAATACTTACTTTGTGTCCTCCCGTCGCTGTTGATACTACCTAAATAGTTATAGCAACGGCAATAGTAGGCGAAGCACGAGCCTTTGCGGATATTGACCAGGGTGCTATCCAAACTACTTGTGGGTTGTGAATACCTCTTGGGGTAGCGAGCTTTAAGAATTTTCGATTGAAAAACGGTCAGTTTGGCTAATGGGCTTGCTCCCGCGGATGACATGTGGGTAAAACTGGCTTATATGGGCGTCCAAACAGGACATGGAAATAAGAACGCCTCGCCAGATTTATGAAGATGGACCTGTGTATGATTCCGGATGGGATGAAATATCCCCTTGTCTCAATCCCAACAATAAACCTAATATAAAACTAATCCGTTGCCTTAATTTTACTCCTAACCCTACTCTAGGCCTTGACTCTGCAGCTAACACGAGTCCCCACCTTAACCCTGAACATGAGTCGGACTTACCTTAACGATGTCTTTAAATCTAGCTTCAAACCTAATTCTTAACCTAGACCTAGACCTAACCTTAACCCTGACCCTAGTTTCATCGGAAGTTTGCTCAAAGACACCCGCGTTGCAGGCGCCCACGTAAGTCGATTCTGACGAAATATTTGTGTGACATCTTTGGAAGACGAGGCAAGAAGTTTTGTGGTGTCGATAAAGTTTGTCTAAGCACTGTTGCTTCTGTTCGACCATACAAGGGATTAACTCTTCTATACTCTTCTGCGACAAACCGATTAGGAAGAGAGTGAGTAGGGTTTGTTGTTTGGCATTGCGCAGTCCCTCTCTCGTTTCCAAAGCTTCAATATCTCGTGAGGAGAAAACCGATGTTTCTTGGCAGACGTTTTTAGTAGAATAGTAGCAGTTTTCCCAATGATACTCTGGAAGACTCTTCAAGCAGGAGTGACTTCATGTCACGTCTAAAGACTTTGGTTCCATGGTGACAGATAGCTAAGCTTACAGCTGAATCATCATCCAGACTGAGCTCGTATTCCGATGATTTGAGGGAGAGGATAGAAGGCGAATTGTCACTTTGACATCAGGGTTTTTGACAATGACCTAAGTAGAAAGAGGCGGGCGTTGGACTTTGAATAGAATTGTATAATCCCGATCGAAACCGACGGGACGACGTGTCCGCGGCTCAGTTGTTAGAGGCGGTGGACTTGTAATTAACTGGTCGCGAGTTCGAGCCGCAGGTGTTCCACACGTCGAGATTAAGTATGACTGTCTGGCAACGGCTAATAAACCAGAAGTGGCCACTACAGTCTCTCTTGTCTTTGTCGGCAAGAACATTTTGTCAAATTGAATTGCCCACAAAAAATGAACAAAATATTGCTTTTTTGTACCCATTCGTAACTAGTTCTCAAAAGAATGACGCACTTTGATTTTCAAAAAAATCCCAATTGCGTGACTTGAAACGCACTATCTGCACCAATTATAACATGAGCTCCACACTCAGGGGCGCATTTTACCTGAACCAGGGGGTTTCTTTACCCTGTTGGAAAGCTTGCAAAGAATGCAACTCCATCATATTCGTCTTTGCCAAGTCGTCTGCTCAGGCGTGCCGTTGTAGTTACCGGTCACTTAGGGCGAGGTTCACGTTTAAAGATGCATCAGGCAGCGAAAACTCCTCTACACTTAACGTTCGTCAAGTTGACGTGACATCAGAATGCGCACTAAAGGATATCTGGACCACTTCTACCCTTGGCCCATCTCCCCTTCAAACAGGCAATAACCCTGGTGTTCCCCCTAAAACAGGCCTTGCCGAAATACTACCGGACCAAAACGGGGAGCCTATCATGGGACGGCAAGCGTTATTGGGCTGTTCACCCACAAAAAATGCCATACATGGGATGTGGTGGTACGCTTACACTCAGGCTCAAACCGCACCACTTGACCTCAACATCAGATGGGTAACGGGTTCGGACAGTGGATTGCTACCTTGGAGTGAACTGTCGTAAGGGCAAGCACAGAGGAGCCACCGTAGCCCTGGCTTTCCATTCCGACGGGCATCGAATTATTTGGCCACGACTGATGATGTGAGGAAAAGCTACGCAAGATGTGAATAGGGAAGTTTAGCGGAGACAGGCGCCAGAGTGTACAGCACACTAACAACACCAAATCGTAAAACAGCTTCCAAAGTCCAAACTAGCGCCCTGTCAGTCGCGCTTTTTCTGCGTCACGGGTCAGTCGGACCAGGTACTACAAATCAGGTACACAGAACTTTGTAAATCCGGTAAAACCTGCCGATATGCAGATACATTTACCACTAAGGCGTTACATTACCCGCTCATGGCGAGA